GCCTTGCTTCTAATGTGAAGTGTCTACTACCTCAGTGTTCTCTATTCCAGATTTGAACTTACTTTGACCCCCCTACCTGAAGCCTTACCATTTAATCATATTATCAATGAACGTTTTTGTTTCCATATTTTTTTCTTATGTTACTATTCCTTAGTTCCTATCTGTAAGATCATAAAGTCCTTTGAACAAAACACAGTTGATATTTAATATATATGTTAAAAACTGAGGTGTGAGACCAGACATGGTGACTCGTGCCTGAAATCTCAGCACTTTGGTAGGTCAAAACAGAAGGATTGCTTGAAGCCAGGAGTTCAAAACCAGCCTGGAAAACAAAGCAAGACCATGTCTCTAAAAAAGAGAATAAGCCAGGCACAGAGGTGTAATCCCTGCTACTCTGGAGGCTGAAGCAGGAGGGTTACTTGAACCCAGGAATTCCAGCAGCAATGAGCTATGATAGCGCCACTGCACTCCAGCCTGGGTGACACAGTGAGACCTTGTCTCCAAAAAAAAAAAAAAAAAGAAAGAAAGAAAAAAATTAAAGTGTAAGATGAGGAGGTGAGGATACTTCCAGGAAAATGCTCTTATTTTCTGCTTTTAGAAACCAAAAGAATGTCTCATTGTGGGGTGCTACCATTATATGTAGGAAGTTTTAGAATTAAAAAGATTCTGAATTGATCCTTGCTAACTTTATTGCAGAAAGTGGTAAAACAGCTGTGGAGTACAGGTCCAGTGAAGACATTGTAGATGTCAGATGGGAAGAAGAACTACGATGGTAGTTCAAGTATGTGGAGATAAAAACTCAAGGATAGGCCGGGCGTGGTGGCTCACACCTGTAATCCCAGAACTTTGGGAGGCCGAGGTGGGCGGATCACCTGAGGTCGGGAGTTCGAGATCAGCCTGACCAACATGGAGAAACCCCATCTCTAATTTAAGAAAAAGAAAAAGATAAAATCAAATAAAATAAACTCAAGGATAACAGGGCCAGGAGCAGTGGCTCATGCTTGTAATTCCAAAACTTTGGGAGGCTGAGGCGGGCAGATCACCTGAGGTCCGGAGTTCGAGACCAGCCTGACCAACATGTAGAAATAGTGGCGCATGCCTTTAATCCCAGCTACTCAGGGAGGCTGAGGCAGGAGAATTGCTTGAACCCAGGAGGCCAAGGTTGTGGACATCCAAGATTGCGCCATTGCACTCCAGCCTGGGCAGCAAGAGCAAAATTCCATCTCAAAAAAAAAAAAAAAAAAAAAAATCAAGAGTAGGGTAACATAGCCAGTGTCACCATAATTGAAAGCAAGCAGCAGAATTTGGAGGATAATTTGTTTCATTCTTGGGAAAACGTGAAACTCTGAAACTGCTTTTGAGTGCAGGGTATTTCTGAGGCTTTTCCTGAACTCTTGACCCTTGGCTCTGACCCCTTATTTGAAGTTTGGAGAAAAAACTGAGGACTGTATTACTCTAGTTGACACAGGAGAGGGGTTAGTCTCCCCTCCACCCCAGGAATTAGGGATGCTGGGCTGCTTGAACACAGACCTTTTTAGAACTCCCTTCAAACAGGATCCCAGAGATATGGGGACAAGGTAACTGGCATTAAGAATGATTGTGCTACAGCTTTCAGAAACTGTAATGCCTTTCATGTATGGCTTATTACTTGGATCTCAACATCTCCCATATATCTTGGGTGGGGGATATTTTGCTGAAGATCTTTCTGTAAATCATTCTCAATCGTGTGCTGCAAAATTCAGTTAACAATAGACCATATATATGATGGTGGTTCCATGAGAGTATAATGGAGTGATCCCTATATAGGTATACCATTTTTGTCTTTTTTTTTTTTTTTAGATGGAGTCTCACTCTCTCCCAGGCTGGAGTGCAGTGTCACGATCTCAGCTTACTGCAACCTCCACCTTCCGGGTTCAAGCGATTCTCCTACCTCAGCCTTCTGAGTAGCTGGGATTACAGATATGTGCCACCACACTCAGCTAATTTTTGAATTTTTAGTAGAGACAGGTTTTCACTATGTTGGCCAGGCTAGTCTCGAACTCCTGACCTCAGGTGATCCACCCACCTCAGGTGGGATTACATGTGTGAGCCACCAAAGTGGTGGGATTACAGGTGTGAGCCACTGTGCCCAGCCCCCATTTTTATCTTTTATACAGTATTTTTACTATGCCTTTTCCATGTTTACATACACAAATACCTGCCATTGTGTTACAGTTACCTTCAGGATTCAGTACAGTAACACACAGTACAGGTTTGTAGCCTAGGAGTCATAGGCCATACCATATAGCCTAGGTGTGCTGTAGGCTATACCAGCTAGGTTTGTGTAAGTAAATGCTATGATGTTAGCACAATGGTGAAATCGCCGAAGTCATTATTTACTATATATGGAATGCTTTTTTTAAAGGAGCAAAAGTTTCATTTCAGTGGGAACTAAATTTGGGGCTAGAGTGTTTTATTTAATTTTCACCCCAAAGTTGCAAAGTGTTTTGAAGTGTTTCCTGTAAAATAATAATATATATATTTTTGAGACAAACCTTCATTCTATCACCCAGGCTGGAGTACAGTGGCTTGATGTCAGCTCACTGCAACTCCGACTTCTGGGTTCAAGCGATTCATGTGCCTCAGCCTCCCGAATAGCTAGATTACAGGCATCTGCCACCATGCCCAGCTAATTTTTTTATTTTTAGTAGAGACAGGGTTTCACTATCTTGGCCAGGCTGGTCTCAAACTCCTGACCTCAGGTGATCCACCCACCTCTGCCTCCCAAAGTGCTGAGATTACAGGTGTGAGCCACCATGCCCGGCCAAAATAATTATTTTAATTTAAATAAAATCCACCAAGGAGACTTCAAGCTTTAAGAAATCTAGCTTCCTGTGAAATGTGAGAGGAAGTCAGCACTGATTTCAGAAATCTGATTATAACAATAGATCCATCCCTAAATGAGGCAAATCTTGGCATCCCTTCCATTTTATTTTATTTATTTTATTTTATTTTTTTGAGACGAGTCTCACTCTGTCACCCAGGCTAGAGTGCAATGGAATGATCTCACCCCACTGCAACCTCTGCCTCCTGGGTTCAAGTCATTCTTCTGCCTTAGTCTCCTGAGTAGCTGGGATTATTGGCATGTGCCACCATGCCTGGCTTATTTTGTATTTTTAGTAGAGATGGAGTTTCACAATGTTGGTCAGGCTGGTCTCGAACTTCTGACCTCAGTGATCCGCCCACCTCGGCCTCCCAGAGTTCTGGGATTACAGATGTGAGCCACGGTGCCTGGCCCCACTTCAATTTTTAAAACCATCACTATGCACCATATGCCTATGCTAGGCACTGGAATAAGATGAAGCACCTTCTTGGAGTTTACACACTGGTAATTATGCCAATCAGTCAGTAATAAGATAGGTAAGAATGGCTGTGGGGGAAGTCAGCTGGGTTCTAGTTTATAGTTGCATTTCAGGAACTTATTTAGCATGCTGACTTAACAACCTAAGCCTCTTCTCCATGTGTGCACACAGGGTAGACCTCTGAAGGGTGGCACTGTAACTTCTAGGGTAATGTGGTAAGTCAAGGCAGGATGACATTCAGCCTCCTCCCAGGCTAGTGCAAAGGGCTCTTCACTCGGATTGAAGCCTTCTCTCCCAGACTGAATTCCCCACCCCAACAGCCCTCCTACAGAAAATCTGGAGTCCTCGCTTATTCCCTGGAGGCCCCTACCCAATAGGGTCGTGAATCAATGATCAAACATGCAACAAAAGATATAGAAAGTTTAGCGAAAATGGCAACATTTTGGAATAAATGACTGTAATGTGCGTTCTGCCTGCCACCCTAACTGGCACACATTTTGCAGGTCAGTTTGCTCTCCCTGGAAGGAGGAGTATTCTCAGATTTCACCTTGGCGGAGGAAGAGTTCAGGCTGCCAGAACTGGGCTAGCACTTCTGAATATCCTGAGGCAAGGTCCTGTGACTTCCCTGGGAAGCTCTGCCGTGCCCCCACCCCACTCCACCCCACCCCACCCCACCCCACCCCACCCCACCAGGCTGCTGGAGTCCTGGGACCCACCCGGGTCTGCGGCCCAAATCCTTCCTAACTAAGGGGAGTGGAGGGGGTGTTCCAGCGTGGCGGGGTGGGAAGGGGGACTTGGGTGGGATTGTGACATAAGATCGCCCTGGTGACATGGAGCAGATCTAGACCCGAGCCTAATAAAGGTAGTGTAAATAAAGATGTCATAAAGGACGGGGCGGGGCGCGTGCTTGTCAGGGACGCCAGCCTCTAGGGGCTGCCAGAATGGTTCCCGCTCCATGCGCGGCGCCAGCGCTTATCATGTCCCGCTTATCTCTATGGGCCCTATGGCCCCTCCTCACGTGGCAACTATTGTGGCTACTAATCCAGGAGGCTCAGCCTCTGGAGAGGGTCAAGGACCCGCTCCAGCTGACCTCTAACCCCCTGGGGCCGACTGAGCCCCGGTCTTCCCGCTCCTCCGATCTCCCATGGAAATCTCTCCATGCGCGTACTCCCTCGGCAGACCCGGGGGGCTTTGATTACCTGGGGTCCTCTGCTTCCTCCCAGAGGTCAGCCCCGCCCCAGGAATCGACTGAGAATTTGGTTCCATTTCTGGACACAGATTCAGCTGGAGAGCTGCCCGCGGGGCCCGAGCACTTCCCGTCTGCACACCCGGATCTGAATGACAAGCTGACTCGGCAAGAAAGGCTTCCCACAGGTGGGTCCAATGCCCGGCTGGGATCAGAAGCAGACCCTAGTTCAGCCTCGTTACCACGAAAGTAAGGTTCAAACTGCAGAGCTAGATCAGGCTGCAGATCATCAGGCAGATGAAATACTTGTTCCACCTCTAGACAGTCAGGATTCAAAAGCAACGGAGTTTATCGTTTCTCCCAAGGACCTGAAAAAAGATCCAGCTCAGCATTGGAGCCTTGCTAAGATTGTGGGAATTCCACATCGATTTGTATCAAAACCTCAGCATCAGAAACAAACATTGCAGGATGAGTATTTAGATTCAAGTATGGATATACTGTATCCCGGCAGCCTGCCGCCAGAACTCCAGGTGAACTCAGATGAGCCTCCAGGGCCCCCTGAGCAAGTTGGACTGTCTCAATTCCATCTAGAGCCTGAATCTCAAAATCCAGAGACCCTTGAAGAGATCCAGTCCTCTTCACGCCAGCAAGAAGCCTCAGCGCAGCTTCCACAGCTCCCTGAGGAGGTAGAACCTTCTTCAACCCAGCAGGAGCCCCCAACCCAGCCTCTAGAGGAGGTAGAACCTTCTGCAACCCAACAGGAGGCCCCAACTGAGCCTCCAGGTCTTCCTATGGAGCCTGAACTTTCCCTCAGTGAGCAGGAGCAGCCAGCTCAGCCTTCTGAATCTTATGGGGAGCTTGAACCTTCTCAGACCCAGGAGGAGACCCCAGCTCTGCCTCCAGAAGAGATGGAACCTGTAATCCAAGAGGAGACCCCAACTGAGCCTCCAGGTCCCCCTATGGAGCCTGAACTTTCCCCCAGTGAGCAGGAGCAGCCAGCTCAACCTTCTGAGTCTTCTCCAGCCCAGCAGGAGACCCCAGCTCAGCCTCCAGAACATCACGAAGTAACAGTTTTACCTGCAGGTCACCATCAAGCTCAGCATTCAGATTTTCCCAGTGTCACTGTTAAGCCTCCAGACATGCAGCTTACCATAGCAACAGAGCCTACTGCAGAGATGGGAACTTCTCCAATCCACCAGGAGGCTATGGCTCAGCTCTCAGGGTCAGCTAAGGATGTAGAATCTTCTGCCACCCAGCACGGGACCCCACCTCTGCTTCCAGAGTCATTGGAAGAAGTTGGACCTTTACCAATTCAACAGGAGACCTCAGTTCAGTCTCCAGAACCTATTAAGGATGAGAACCCCTCTCCAACCCAGGAGGAGGCTGCAGCTGAGCATCCACAGACCCCTGAGGAGGTTGAGTCTCCTCTCATCCAGCACGAGGCCCCAGCTCAGACTCCACAGCTCCCTAATGAAGTTGTAGCTCAACCTCCAGAGCATCATGAGGTACCAGTTTCTCCTCTAAGTCATGACCAAGTTCAGCCTCCAACATTGCACGATGTCATTGTTAAACCTGTGCATCACATGGTTACAGTGAATCCAGATCTCACTGATGAGGTTGAAATTTTAACCCAACAGGGGACCCCAGCTCAGTCCTTAATGTCCTCTGAGCAGTTTCAACATTTGAAAGATCAGCAAGAGTTTATAATTCAGCAGCTAAATTCCCCTGAAAATGATGAACTTCCTCCAGTCCATCAAGAGCCCACAACTCAGCCTCCAACTCAGCTCAGTCCATTGAGTAATGAGATGGTATTTTCACCTCTAGATCTGTCTCCAGTATTCAGAAGTAATTCACCTTTGCCTAATACCACAGTTAAAAATGTGGATCTGGAGCTTCCCATACCTACAGCAGTCACTGTAGATACAGAGGTCAAACCAATTCCAGTCCAGCAGGACAGCCTTCCTATTCCCACTGAGCGGGCAGACTTTTCTGTAGTCCAGCCTGACAACCTTCCTATTCCCACTGAGCAGGCAGACTTTTCTTTAGTCCAGCCTGATCTCCGTTCCTCACCTCTGCATTCTCCTGAAAAGATTGAATCTCCAGTCCAGCAGGAGGCCACAGCTCAGACTCCAGATTCCCCTAAGGAGATAGAACCTTCTGCAGTCTGGCAAGAGTTCCCAGCTGAGCCACCATTGCCCCTTAAGGAGGTTGAACCTATCTGCAACCCAGCAGGAAGCCTCAGGTTATCCTCCGAAGTCCACGGAAGAGATCACTCCTCCTCCACGACAGGAGATACCAGCTCAGCCATCAGAGCCACCTGGGAAGGTTGAACCATATTCTGTCCTACAGCAGGCCCCAACTCAGCTTTTGGAGCCACCTAAAGAGGTAGGATCCTCTCCAGTCCAGCAAGCAGTCCCTGCTCAGTCTTCAGAGCCCCCTATGATTATAGAACCTTCTCTGACCCAGCAGATGGCCCCATCTTTGCCTCCAGAGTTCCCTCAAGGAGGTGAAACCATCTCTAACTCAGCAGGATGTTCCTAGCTCAGATTCCAGAGCCCCCTCTGGAGACAGAACCTTCTCCAATCCAGCAGGAAGCCACAGTTCAGGCTCTAGAGCCCCCTAAGGAGGTAGAACCTTCAAGCCAGCAGATGGTCCCAGCTCAGCTTCCAGAGCCATCTAAGGAGGTTGCAGCTCAACCTCCAGCTCATTATGAGGTGACATTTACACCAGGTCAGGATCAAAGTCAGCATTCAACATTGCCTAGTGTCACAGTTCAACCTTTGGACCTGGGGCTTACCATCACTCCAGAATCCACGACAGAGATTGAACTTTTTCCAACCATGCAGGAGACCACAACTCAGCCTCCTAAGAAAGTTGTACCCCAGCTTCCAGTGTATCAAGAGGTAACAGTTCCATCACCAGATCAGGATCAAGCTCAGCATTCAATGTCATCCAGTGTTACAGTTCAACCATTGGACCTGGGACTTACCCTAACTCCAGAACCCAGTACGGAAGTTGAACATTCTACACCCCTGAAGAAGACTATAGTTCCTTCAAAGCACCCTAAGGTGACACGTCCACATCCAGACCGTGTTCAGACTCAGCATTCAAACCTGACTCAAGCCACAGTTCAACATTTGGATCCGGGGCTTACCATCACTCCTGAATCCACTACAGAGGTTGAACCATCCACAGCCCTGACTACTACGGCTTCTCCTCCAAAACACCCTGAGGTAACACTTCCACCTTCAGACAAGGGTCAGACTCAGCATGCAAACCTGACTCAAGTCATAGTTCAGTCTCTGGACCTGGAGTTTACCATCATGACAGAACCTACTACAGAGGTAAAACTGTCTCCAACCATGGAGGAGACCTCAACTCAGCCTCCAGATCTGAGGCTTGCCATAACTCTAGAATCCACGACAGAGACTGGACATTCTGCAGCCCTGGAGAAGACTACAGCTCCTCGTCCAGACCAGGTTCAGACTCAGCGTCAAAACCTGACTGAAGTCACAGGTCCACCTACTGATCTAGAACCTACTCAGGATTCACTGGTGCAGTCTGAAACTTACGCCCAAAATAAGGCTTTAACTGCACCAGAAGAACAGGCCTCCGCAAGCACCAACATGTGTGACCTCTGTACCTGCAGAGATGAGACGCTGTCGTGTATTGATCTCAGCCCAAAGCAGAAGCTCCGCCACGTGCCTGTGCCAGAGCCGAACACCTACAACGGCACCTTTACTGTCTTGTAAGAATCACCTTTCCTCCATTGTCCTCTGTGTCCTGCCTGATGTGGCAGCCTTTTCCTGGAGGCCTTCCTGGGCCTTCTTTATCTCCCCAAGCCATACTGACAGCTGACTTTCTGCTTTCACCTTTGCTTGTCCACTCTTCCTTCTCCTCATTCTCCTTTACTGTTAGGCCCCTTCTCCAGTCTTTTACTTTTACTCTAGTCTTTTACCCTTACTCGTTTTCTTATGCATTTTTATTTAGCCTCATCACATCATTGCTTAACCGCTGCTCTCCTCCCATTTTCACTTCACCCTCTTTACAGGAGCCTGCCCCTCTCCCCATCTCGGTGATGATGCTCTAAGTGATTAAGAGTTGATTCTGGAGTCAGGCTGCCTGGATTTGAACCCAGGCCTGTCATTTATTAGCTTGGTGACCCAGAACAAGTTATTCTGTTCTGTGATTCAGTTTCCTCAACTTTATTTTTTTTTAATTTATTTTTTATTTTAAAGCCAGTGTTTCACCGTGTTGGTCAGACCCGTCTTGAACTCCCGACCTCAGGTGATCCGCCCCCCTTGGCCTCAGTGCTTGGATTACAGGCATGAGCCTGGCCCTTCCTCATCTTTAAACTGGAGATTATGCTAGTTACCATTTCACAGGATTGTTGTGAAATTTAGGTGAGGAATACATGAAATACTTGCATCGGTGCCTAGCATATGTAGGAGTGTGGGTTGTTAACATGATTACTCAGTCCTTTAGTTTTGTCCGGAACTCATCTTTGTCCCTGGTTTTCTATATGTAGCACTCGTTTTGTGTCCAGCCCAGGGCCAAGTATGCTACCATCTCCAGAACATGAAAGTGATAGGAAGGAAGAGAGAGAATAGGCATAAAAAGGGAAGTATATATAATTAAGTACTGAAAGATAATGCAGAACATCAGTGCTAGAATTTACCGGAATCTGTGATCCTTGAGGTGTGGAGGTCAGGGAAAGCTACATGGATAAGCTAAAACTTTACTTGGGTCTTAAAGAGTAGCTATAATTTGTTAAATAGAAAAAAAAAAAATGGGAGTATAGTCTAGGCAAAGGCGTGGCTACAGGTATGGTTGAAATTCAGACCAATCTCGCTGCACAGAATCACATGAGGGAACAATGAAGATATGATTATGTAAAACCTTGATTATCAGCTACAGGAATTTGAAAGTTACACAGTGAGATATGGAGAGCCATTGAAAGTTTTCAAGCAAGAGAGATGAAATGATTAAAACAGGAAGATTATTTTATTTTGTTTTTTGCTTTATGTTCAAGTATAGACATGCAAAAGATTATTTTAGAATCCATATGTAGAGTGCCCTAGAGGAGAAACCTTAATTCAGGAAGACAAATAGAAAGGTCTAGCAAAACCTAGGAGTAAAGTGTGAAGGGGCTAAATCAGATCGGTTGTAATAGAAGTGGAAAGAAAAATCCTAGGATGTTTCGGCAGAGGACACTGGGCCAAAGCTTTGGTGTTACCTGGCATAGGGTTTCTTTCTTCTTCTTTGTTGATAATGATAGACTTTTGCCCATTTTCTGTTGAATTATTTACCATTTTTGTATTGATTTGTAGAAGGAGTTGTTTAGAACTTAAGTGCTTTTGGATAAAATACTTACATTCAAAGTAATTAACTGGCATCATCTGTCTAAGAGATTGGACGGATAGGAAGTTAAGCTTCAGGAGACACCTCATCATTTGTGCCAGTGGCCCTGCATTATTTCTTGATTAATTGTGCAAACTGGGAAGCTGATAGCTCTGGAAATTAGAAGGCAGGTGTTATTTTCTGTAACTGAATATCCCTGACAAGGTTGCCATGATTCTTTTTCTTATCCTGTTCATTCTTTTCCTACCTATTCAAGGATATAAACTGTGTTTCTTTACAGAAATTTCCAAGGAAACTATATTTCTTCCATTAATGGAAAGGTATGGAAGGCATACCATTGGACTGAGAAACTGTGAGTATATTCTCTCCAAAAATGACAAAAAAAAAAAAAAAAAAAAAAAACTAACTGCATTGTAAGATCCTTCTTGGTCCAGAATTTTGAGGTCTGTACTTCTGAGAAAATGTATTTCCCCTCCATACCCCAAATCAACCTCTGTTGATTGCAATCCTATGGTTATTTTAGAATTAAATTTGGTGAACTCTCTTTAAAGTAAGAAGCAATTTAAATTTATTTTTTATCACACAAATAATACATGGTTATATTCCCTTTTTTTCCTGTCTCTCTCTCTCTCTTTTTTTTTTTTTTTCCCCCAGAGACAGGGTCTTACTTTGTTCCCCAGGCTGGAATGCAGTGGCACAATCATGGCTCACTGCAGCCTGCACATCCCAGGTTCCAGAGATCCCCCACCTCAGCCTCCAAAGTATCTGGGACCACAGGTTCATCCTAGCACGCCCACCTAATTTTGTATTTTTTGTAGAGACAGGGTCTCCCTATGCTGCTTAGGCTGGTCTCGAACTCCTGGGCTCAAGTGATCCTCCCACCTTGGCCTCCCAAAGTGCTGGTATTACAGGCATGAGCCACCACCCCCAGCCCATGATTTTATTTCTAATGTATAAAAATGAAATATGCCGGGCGCGGTGGCTCAAACCTGTAATCCCAGCACTTTGGGAGGCCGGGGCGGGTGGATCACGAGGTCGAGAGATCGAGACCAACCTGGTCAACATGGTGAAACCCCGTCTCTACTAAAAATACAAAAAATTAGCTGGGCATGGGGGCGCGTGCCTGTAATCCCAGCTACTCAGGAGGCTGAGGCAGGAGAATTGCCTGAACCCAGGAGGCGGAGGTTGCGGTGAGCCGAGATCGTGCCATTGCACTCCAGCCTGGGTAACAAGAGCGAAACTCCGTCTCAAAAAAATAAAATAAATAAAATAAAAATAAAAATAAATAAAAAATAAAACTGAAATAACAGATATAACAAAAACCCTCCTTGTGCCCTACTCCCTCATCCCTGAGGTAATGCTACCCTGCATTTAGTATATATTCCTCGAGACTTTTTCCCATTGCCTACATACATATTTACATAAAGCAAAATAGATTTGTTGTGTGGTTTTTAAAATCTTTTTCTTTACATAGATGGTAACATCTTGTAACTTGATTCTTGCACTTCATGATATGCCTTAGATTTCTTTCCTTCCCAGTACTTAAAGGGTCACCCCATTCATTTAAACTCCTGCATAGTCCATAGTATGGATACGTCATAGTTTATTTAATAATTACCCCATTGATGAATGTTTAGATTACGTTTAGTTTTCTTGTTATGTGCATAGCTTCAATGAAATCCCTGCACATGCTTCTTGGTGAACATAGGAAATTATTCCTGTAGAATAAATATCTAGAAATGGAATTGTTGGGGCTATGGGGTATTTATGACTATGTAGACATAAAATTGTAATTGCCCTCAAAAATGTTGGCCAACTTACTCTGTTGTCAATAGAATATGACAGCATTCATTTCCCTACACTTTTTCACCACTGGGTATTCTCCAACTTTCTGTTGATGTTGTAGGTGAATAAAAGGGATTCCATCTAAATTTGAATTTTTCTGATTACTCATGAATTTAATTAAATACCTTCATATGTTTATTGAACATTCCTGTTTCTTCTCTGAGCTTCCTGTCCTTTGTTCATTTTCCTGTTGAATTGTTTTATCATTTTTCTTACTGATTTATAGAAGGAATTAGATAAATGAATCACATAAATGATTTTAGAAAAAATGCTTACATTAGAAGTAACTGGCATTTTTCACAAGAGCTTGATGTGTCACATCATTAGTTCAACTTACATTGAACTAATGTAATTATATTATATAGACAAGTCGTACGTGAGTTCTAAATTAAAAATAAAACACATGCTGGGCACAGTGGCTCACAACTGTAATCCCAGCACCTTGGGTGGCCGAGGTGGATGGATCACCTGAGGTCAGGAAGTTTGTGACCAGCCTGGCCAATATGGTGAAACCTCATCTCTACTAAAGATACAAGAAGTAGCCAGGCATGGTGGTGGGTGCCTGTAATCCCAGATACTTGGGAAGCTGAGGCAGGAGAATCGCCTGAACCTGAGAGGTGGAGGTTGCAGTGAGCCAAGATCGCGCCACTGCACTCCAGTCCTGGGCAACAGAGTAAGACTCTGTCTCAAAAACAAAACAAAACAAAAAAGGACAATCATAGTAATCTAAGAAGAGGCATTATGGTCACTTTAAAATAGTTTCCCCCATGCCTTGTCTGATATCTTCTTGATAGGAAGAAAAAAAAAATGCTAGAACCAGACAATTCTGTTTTCTAGCTCTAGAGGAGAGGTGCAATTCTCTGGGGGTTGTGTTCCAGATGGAGTCTTCTGAGAATAAGGAAGGTGTGGGAGATGGCTAGTAAGGGAGTGTACACCCTTCCTCCAGGGTTCCAGGACGCTGCCCACTTTCAGACAATTGTTCCTGCCTGGAGGAAGACACTCTTTGCTGCCTGGCCCAAGGAAGAAGGATATGGGGTTGACGTGCCTCTGGCTTCTCCTACTGCCCTGTCCCAACCAATAACTGAAGTATTTCTGATAAAGGAGCATTTGTAGAACTGCTTCCACATTTTGAGCTAAGGTTGTGGATTTAAAATTATTTCTGTTCTATAACTTTTAGGGATTTGGTAGCGGTTGGATGGGTACAGACCTGACATTTTCTCAATCTGCCACTTGAAATAGCACAACTTTTTAGGAAAGCAATTTTGTATGCCTTATTATTACATTCTAGAGAAACTCAGGCAAAAATGTTAATCAGTATACAAGTATAAGAATGTTGAAAGCAGCGTTGTTTGTAATAAGTAAAAATTAGAAACATCTCAGCATTCATCCACAGTAGATGAATCAGTACATTGCAGTATAATCATTCAATGGAATACTCTACAGCAGCATTATTCATTAGAAACCTAATGCAAGCCACATACATAATTTTAACTTTTCTGGTAGTCACTTAAAAAATAAAACTAAAAAGGAAACAGGTGAAACAGTTAATATGTTTTATTTCACCCATGTATCCAAAATATTATCCTTTCAACATGTTATCATTATGCTATTAATGATATAGTCTATTTTCATACTAAGTCTTCAAAATATCCAAAGTGGTATCATTTCTACATGTAATTAGCATAAAAATTAATTGTGGAGTTTACATTCTTTTTTCCATACTAACTTTTTTTAACCAAAGTCCAAATTTGATTGCTAAATTTTTATCAAAAAAACTTAATCTGTTCTGCTGAGAAATCTAGGGAGAAAGTTAATAATAATAATAATAATAATACTTAATCTGGCTGGATGTTAGGTAGCTCATGCCTGTAGTCCCAGCACTTTGGGAGGCTGAGGCAGGTGGATCACCGTGAGGTCAGGAGTTTGAGGCCAGCCTGGCCAATATGGCAAAACCTCATCTCCTCTAAAAATACAAAAATTAACTGGGTGTGATGGCAGGGCACCTCTAATCCCAGCTACTCGGGAGGTTGAGGTAGAAGAATTGCTTGAACCCGGGAGATAGAGGTTGCAATGAGCCAAGATCGCACCATTGGACTCCAGCCTGGCTGACGAAGGAAACTCCATCTCAAAAACAAAAAACACTCACACCTGTAATCCCAGCACTTTGGGAGGCTGAGGTGGGCTGATCACCTGAGGTCAGGAGCTCGAGACCAGCCTGACCAATATGGTGAAACCCCATCTTTAAAACAAAACAAACAACAAAAACACCTTAATCCTATATTTAGATTTCATAAAGTTTGCAGTTGAAAGAGTAGCATCATATACCCAAATTGTTGCAAACATGCATTTTATAACAACTGCATTGAGTGTCAGCTTTGAAATTTAAAAATAATTAAAATGATTGAAATTAAAGATTCAGTTCCTCAGTCACATTAGCCACTATCACTAGCCAAATGTAGCTAGTGACTACCTTATTGGAAGCACAACACAGGTCTTGAACCAGCCTCAGCAACATACATCTTAAAAGTACAGATTATTGAGTGCAAAGAAGTGATACAGAAAATAATATGTATAATATGATTTCATTTATATAATATTCAAGAGGCAAAACTAAACTATCTTGTTTATAACTGACACATAATAAGGTAAAACTTACATTTCATTTCATTTTATTTTATTGATTTTTGAGACAGGGTCTGCAGTGGTGCAAACACGGCTCACTGCAGCCTGGACCTCCCATGCTCAAGTGATCCTCCCATCTGAACCTCTCTAGTAGCTGGGACTGCAGGTGATGCCAACTTGCCCAACTAATTTTTAAATTTTTCTAGAGAGGAGGTCCTGCTGTATTATTCAGACTTGTCTCGAACTCCTGAGCTCAAGCAATCCTCCGTTCTTGGCCTCCCAATGTGCTGGAATTACAAGTGTGAGCCACCATGCCCAGCCAGAACTACATTTTATTTCTTATTTATTTATTTATTTATTGAGATGGAATTTCATTCTTGTCACCCAGGCTGGAGTGCTATGGTGTGATCTCAGCTCACTCCAACCTCCACCTCCCAGGTTTAAGCAATTCTCCTGCCTCAGCCTCCTGGGTGGCTGGAATTACAGGTGCCCGCCACCACACCCGGCTAATTTTTGTATTTTTAGTAGAGACAGGGTTTCACCATGTTGACCAGGCTGGTCTTGAACTCCTGACCTCAGGTGATTCACCCACCTTGACTTCCCTAAGTGCTGGAATGATAGGCGTGAGCCACCATGCTAGGCCAGAACTATATCTTAAAAGCAAGAAAATTATTACAAAAGTCAGGATAATGGTTACCTATAAGGATTAGAGAGAGGTTTATGATTGGAAAGGGGCACACTGGGGGCTTCTGGGATGCTAGTGGTGATCTAACGATGTTACATGGATATCTGCTTTATAATTATTAAACTGAATATTTGGCCAGGTGAGGTGGCTCACATCTGCAATTGCAACACTTTGGGAGGCTGAGACAGGAGGATTGCTTGAGCCAGGAGTTTGAGACTAGTCTGGGCAACAGAGTGAGACCCTGTCTCAGCAATTAAATTAAATATAAACAACATTTATATTATGTGCACTTTATGCGTATTGTAGTTCTCAAATTTTTTTAATGGGGAAAAATGTTGAATGGCTTCACTTGCAGCCCTGACATAGTTCCGTGTTGGGCTTTCATAATAAGGTTTGGGAAAAGAGAGGAGGAAATGGAGGTTCTGCTGATCTTGGTGTCACCCAGAGTTGGATTCTAACAGGGACTCGGTGATTTAGAGAGGAGACACTGAATATTCAATTTGGTGGGAAGAGTGGGTAGGGTGTGCTTGTGTGTGTGTGCGTGCATGTGTGTATGTGTGGTGGTGGCGGTGGAGAGAGATGGACACAAAGATGAAAATGTAAGAAAAGAGTTTAATGAAAATAGAGCAAATACCATCTTGAAATTACCATTACCCAGCTTTCCTCCACATATAGGAGATAGTCCTGTGTAGCAAATAGTTGTAGTTTACATTTTAATCTAGAAATAACTTTTTCATTTTCCAGAATTCTCAGTGAAAATTATTTGACTGAATTACATAAGGATTCATTTGAAGGCCTGCTATCCCTCCAGTATTTGTAAGTTAGTTAGTTAATCCTATCTATGAGTTTTTAGTCATATTATCTGTAAAATGAATAAGGAGTTCAAATTAGATAATCTCTAAGATTTCTTCCAGGAATAAAATTCTTTAATTCTGTAAGTTTATATAGGGTCTTAGCGCATCTCTAGCATTAGTTACTTCCTATGCATTTTCAATTTTTAAATTATATAGACAAAATACAGACAAAAAAATTCACATGGTGAATCTGAGCAGTGATTGACACTCATATGAACCTTGTTTTATAACTGTTCACATACCATCTTCTTATATTCAGTCTACAACCAAGAGATCAAATCTAATCTAGGGTCTATTTTTAAATAGCCCATTAAGTTCATGGTTTTTGCACTTTTTTTTTTTTTTTTTTTTTTTGAGACGGAGTCCCACACTGTCGCCCAGGCTGTAGTGCAGTGGCTCGATCTCAGCTCACTGCAATCTCCACCTCCTGGTTTCAAGCAATTCTCCTGCCTCAGCCTCCCAAGTAGCTGGGACTACAGGTATGCACTGCCACGCCCAGCTAATTTTTTTGCATTTTTAGTAGAGTCCGGGTTTCACCATGTTGGCCCAGATGGTCTTGATCTCCTGACCTCAGCCTCCCAAAGTGCTGGGATTACAGGCGTAAGCCACTGAACCTGGCCGGTTTTTGCATTTTTAAAGGACTGTGAAAGAAACAGAAAATAAACAAAGAGAAATATGCAACAGAGATCATATGTGGCCCACAAAGCCTAAAATATTTACTACCTGACCTTTCCAAAAACAGACTTGAGAAAGTTGGTTTAGTAGAATGAAAGGAATTAAAGTTAACTTCACATTGTTGCCTGAAAGAGAAGAAAATGTAGACCACCTACATTCATTTGAACATCATCAATTCAGAATTTTTTGGTAATTTTATTTGAATTAAATTAACATTTAAATACTAAAAAATCAGCTTAATTATATAAATAATATTATCCAGAATATTAAGCTACCAAGAGAATAGACTGATATTAAGGATTTCATTTTAGGAATTGTTATAATAAAACAGTGTTTAAAATGATGGTCAAGTGGTATAGCTACAAATGTTTACACTAAGTGAGTGTGTCAGAAATGCCCCTAAGTCTTCAATAATTACAACATAACTATCTCCTCAACCCTGTTTCCAAGGAAGGGATAACTGCACAGTATTTCTGTCTGTTTAGAGATAAGAAGATACTATGTTCATTGCTATGAAAGCTTGATTCTTATCCTCTGTCCATGGTCCAGAGGTGTGTATGTCATTAATCCTTATTAAGCTCATTAGTGATACTCCTTTTGCATCACTAATTCTTTCAAATGCAGAAGGCTTAAGGAAAGTGGGTATAAAGAACCTCAAGTGGATGCCAAAGTGCTACAGAGGCCACGAAGTAATAAACAACATTTCCTTTAAAATAGTCATTTTCCTTCTATCACACTACTCACTCCCCCAGGCTATCCATTTATTTTGCAGATATTTGAGTTTGCTTCATTTCCATGTGTCAGTTTTAAACATGGTGGGCAATGCAGATGAGCAAGACCTAGTCCATGCTTTCAAGGAGTTTATGCTCAGAAGAAACAGGATGAAAAATAACTACATTAAAAAAGAAGAAATAAATGTGGGCACTAGGAGGGATAAATTGTTTCTGGAGCATAGACGAGGGAGAAAATGACTTCAATTTGGCCCCAGGAAGGTGTCACTAGAACAATGCCATTTGAATAGGACTTTGTGGACAGATATCTTGGGAAAATATTCTAAACTTGCAAAAGGAAAATGGGAGAAGGCCAAAACACAGGAGTGTTTTGAGGAATACCATGAGTACCTGTAGAATATAAGGAGGGAGAGTAGGAAATAGGAGCCAGATCTTCTAGGGCTTTGAATGCCAAGCTCAGGAGCCATCGTGGGGAACCTGTTATCACAGCAGTGCTGTAAGATAGAACTGCCTCACAATCACTGGGAGGGCATGTTAGAACTCAGTTCTGGACTCCACCCTCACAGTTACTGATTCAGTTCGTCTAGAGTGGGACCAAAAATTTGCATCTCAATAATTTCCCAGGAGATGCTGGTCTTTGCAAGCCACTTCTGGAGAGTTTATATGATGACTGTGTTTGGGTAGTTTAGGGAGGGAGAGACCAGAGATGGAGATATCAGTCAGACAACATTACACTATCCAGGTAAAGAGGGAGGGACAAGCTGACAAGTGGAATCAATAAAAATAAAAGAGCCAACTGTAGTCAAGAATGGGTGTTGACTATACCGGTTTTTATTTGAAAAGTGAAAATCCAGTTCCATGTTATTCTTGTTGCCCCATCACTATATAACTGAAGAAATTGCTTTCATGAAATATTAAAGCAATATAAAGCCAAAAATGAATTTCTATTACTATGATAGAAATTCTGTTAATATGATTTGAATTAGTTCAGAGTTATGTGTTAAAGGGTTAACTTCCTTCCAAATGATGTGAAAGGATGTCTTTTATTTCTTCTGATATTGAACTGGCTTAGGAAAACAGACCTAAACTAGGAAGGTATATAAATGTGAGACTATTCCTCTTAATATTGGAAACTATATGTAGAGATAAAAACTTTGAGCTCATAATCTGGGATTTGATGAGACTACAAAAGGGCATCTAATCAAGTCTACTGCTTTCAGGAATAATAAATCCCAAAGTCTATCAAGATCTATAGTTGTATATTTTATTTATTAAGACCATGAAGGTAAGACTCCAGGAGAGGTACAGGCAGGGTTAGGAGCTCTGGACAGTTTAAATACACGTCAAAACGTTTAGAGCTTAGATGAAAACTGTGTATTCAATACTCTTCTAAACTCTTACTGTTTATTCATACTAATTTGACATCTAATAACTAATCAAGGCAATATTTTCCTTTTACTTTTCCTAGAGATTTATCCTGCAATAAAATACAGTCTATTGAAAGATATACATTTGAATCACTACCATTTTTACAGTCTATGTAAGTTACAAATAAAACTTGATTACATTTGGAATTTATATAAAACTTAATTATAAACCTCTTTGCTATTCATTCTGAAACATGATTAAAATTTTACCAGTAGAAAGTTAACTAAAATTATATAGCAAATCCTTTTTGTCTCTAGCAAAGATTAGTGTGAACATTATTACACAGATCATAGTGAATCATCAGAGAGCAGTGGTTCTCAACTAGTGTGATTTTGTACTCAGGTGACATTTGGCAATGTCTGGAGACAGTTTTGGTTGACAATACTGTGGTTGTGCTCCTGGCATCCGGTGGGCAGAGGCCAGAGATGCTACTAAACATCCTCCAGGGTATAAGACAAATCCCCACAGCAAAGAGGTTTTTTTTTTTGAGACAGAGTCTCGCTTTGTCGCCCAGGCTGGAGTGCAGTGGCTCGCTCTCAGCTCACCGCAGCCTCTACCTCCCGGGTTCAAACGATTCTCCCGCCTCAGCCTACCAAGTAGCTGGGATTACAGGTACCCACCACCATGCCCAGCTAATTTTTGTATGTTTAGTAGAAATGGAGTTTCACCATGTTGGTCAAGCTGATCTCAAACTCCTGACGTCATGATCCGCCCGCCTTGGCCTCCCAAAGTGCTGGGATTAAGGCTTGAGCCACTGAGCCTGGTGGCAAAGAGTTATATAGACCAAAATGTCGATGGCACTGAAGTTGTGAAATCCTGTTGTAGAGAAATAAAGATCACTAAACACAAGTATTTACTGAGCATTCACTGTTTTGTATCTAATGCACCACATGTGCAATGTTAAAGTATAAATCATAAGCTAGTATCGTCTACAGTGAGACTTCTTTAGTGCACAGAGAAAGGATTGAGGTTATGTTCCATCCCATATAAATTAGAATCATGGCAAATGATAAATGTTCTGAAATAATTTTTTTTTTCCTTTGGCTTGTGTCTTTTTCTGTAGAAATCTTGGTTGCAATTTACTCACAGAACTGAGCTTTGGAACATTTCAGGCCTGGCATGGAATGCAGTTTTTACACAATTTGTAAGTGTAAACAACTATTTACATGTGAAAACCTCATGCATTTATTGGTTAGCTGGGTATAAGCCCATTACGAACTCTGAAAATATGTCTTAAGATCCATTCCTTTTTCTCAAATGGGGAAACTAAGGTACAAAGGCCAAGAGACTTACATAGCTTATATATGACTTGCTCTGCTTTTCCTACTTCTGAACTTTGACATGGGCAAGAAAAGACATCAAACAAATGACCCTCCAATTAGCCTTGTTAACAGGCATGGTGGTTCAGGCCTGTAATCCCTGCATTTTGGGAGGCAGAGGCAGGCAGATCACCTGAGGTCAGGAGTTCAAGACCAGCCTGGCCAACATAGTGAAACCCCATCCCTACTAAAAATACAAAAAAATCAGCTGGGCATGGTGGTGCAGTTTTTTGCTCCCTGGAGGACTTTGTGTTAAGCTTCCTTCCTTGTAGCTAAATGTTGCAGACATTTAAGCAGTTAGAAACGGTGCATATGAGCAGGAATCAAAGTTAAATCCAAAGTGTAGGGCCAGGTATGGTGGCTGACACCTGCATTCCCAGCACTTGGGGAAGCCGAGGTGGCTGGATCACCTGAGGTCACAGGATTTCGAGACCACCCTGACCAACATGGCAAAACCTGTCTCTACTAAAAATACAAAAAATTAGCAGGGTATAGTGGCATGTTCCTGTGATCCCAGCTACTCGGGAAGCTGAAAACAAGAATGGCTTGAACCCAGGAGTCATAAGTTGCAGTGAGCCGAGATTGTGCCACTGTCCTTCAACCTCCGCCAGGCTAGTCTTGAACTCCTGTGACCTCAGGTGATCCGCCCACCTCAGCCTCCCAAAGTGTTGGGATTACAGGTGTGAGCCACCACACCCGGCCAAGATGGTGTTTATGTTAATTTGCAAAAAACAATATGTAAAGAAAATACATCACCATAGCTTATTTTCCATATACTCTCCCGACAACTCTTTGACCATAAATACAAATTTTATTCTCTTGCAGCTTAAAAATTCTGTGATTTCTCTGTATAATATAACTGACAAATCAGAGTGGGTATGTTCAATGGCCTGAAGGGGGCTTTAGACTCAAGGTGAAGATTCTCCTTTACATCTGACTTTAGAGAGGACTTTCCACCTCTCTTGTATTTCAGAAGTCTAGTTTCACACAGTTCATTTTGAGGTAGAGGGAGGCGTTCAGGAAGTGTCTGGCCTAGAGCAGCAGTTTCTGCAGATGCACCTCTCTGTCCTCCTTGATTTGCTGATGCCTAACTTAGGAAAAAGACACTGAGGGTCTGTTTTTCTTTTGCCCTCACATCAGAGAATAGGCTCATTAGGTTAATCAAATGTCTTAAACTCACCACCGTTACTAAGCACTTTATAACACTGGGAGTCCCTCATAAGAATCTGGTGGCTGGGAGCAGTGGCTCACACCTGCAATCCCAGCACTTTGGTAGGCTGAGCTGGGTGGAGCACCTGAGGTCAGAAGTTCAAGACCAGCCTGACCAACATGGTGAAAACCCATCTCTACTAAAAGTTCAAAAATTAGCTGGGTGTGGTTGCAGGTGCCTGTAATCCCAGGTACTCAGGAGGCTGAGGCAGGAGAATCACTTGAACCCAGGAGGCAGAGGTTGTATTGAGCCGAGATCATGCCATCGCACTCCAGCCTGGGCAACAGAGTTCGACTCAGTCTCAAAAAAAAAAATAATCTGGCCAACTTCACTACAATTATGTAGGCAACACTGAGAAAACACTGGAATCACAGCTGATAAAAAGGAATGAATTCACTCAAAAACATTCACTCAGTGCCATGTCCATTTGTGCCAGGTACTGTATGAATGCTGGGGGTACAAAATCCATCTCAAAGACACACCAAGATGGGGACTTTCATACCTCAAGGAGGAAGCAGATGCTGAGGGGAAAACATAGGAGAGCCATGTTGGGATCTGTACAGCAGGGTGACAAGGGGAGGACAAAGTAGGAATGGATGGTGGGTTAAGGAAGACTCGAGGAGACACCACCTTGCTTCTCTTGAGTTTCTGTGTTCATCTTAAACAACAGAAAAAGGCATTTGCTTCATGGTGATGAGAAAAATCAGAGCTAGCTGATATTGGAAATTAGTACTGATTTCATGTAAACAAGAGTAGAGCTGTACCCTTCAAACTAAGTCACAGTTACTTTCAAAGATTGACACAACGGTCTCAACACAGCAAGTGGATGTTGGGGGCTGGGCTCCTTTGTTTGGAGTCAAATTTTTCTAGTAAACAATGCTACATTGCAGAGTCATATTTAGCATATGTGACATATAGCCCCATTGCATTTTGTTCCAAAGGCAAATTGCCAAGTAATTTTATGACCAATATGGCACCATTCTGTGGTGTTTATAAGTTGGAAGAATATGTTCCTGTATTATGTAAGTTTGAAGAGAAAAAAGAGGCCCCAGCTGTGGGGGACTGATGGTGAATTGAAAAGAGCCTAAGCTTCAGGACTTCTCACTTGCACAGGCCCCTTCCAAGGTTCTGGGAGGGACCCTGGCAAATTTTGTATTCATGATTTTTTACGTTTTCACTAGATAAGGTTCAGACCCCACAAAATTCTGAAATTGCCCCTGGGTTCCAAAAGTTACAACCCAGTAAATTTCTTGAATGAAGCATCTATGTTATTGACAAATACTGACTGGCCAAGTTAGTGTGGTAGAGTCAGTCTATTTTGAATCTGAAATCCATCTCAAAGGCATACCAAAATCTTATTAGTGGACTTAACTGGGTTCTGCTGGCCCAAGCGCAGTAAAGCCAAATAGCTATATCAAAGGTTTGTATTGGGGAAAGGAGGGCATTTATTTGCAAGTCATCTAAGCAAGAAGGACCAGGCAGCTATCAGAGTCCCCCTCTGAATGGTAGCAATAATCATATCGCTTACAGATGAAATCATGAATGAAATGGTTTATGGAAAGCCAGCAATGATTGATCATCCTAAATGTTAGCGTGTTTATATTTTTTCCCTGACTTTAAAGTGCTTCTCCTTCATTTCCATACACAGATCTAGTCTAATGGCTTATCTTTAAAAATTCTTCATCATTTCATTGGTTCTAACCATACAAACTCCATAATTTTAGAAACTGGATGACTTTGCAATGTAGAAAGGCTATACTTTATTCAGATAGAGCACACTCACATGCTGGCTTGTCTGTGGCACATCAATATCGTGCCAAGAATGTAAGCACAAAGAGAGAATAAGAGGAAAATCCAGGCTTTATCCCACTATTAGAATATCAGTGATGTAGGTGTGGCCACACTGTGATGGCACAAACATGCCTTGCTGTTCCCCCCAGTCTGCTGACATCGGCTTCCTTTACATAGCGGTGGATGCACAAAAGTTTGCACAGTTGAGGGTATTGTCATCACGTTTTGGTATGTACTGGAACAGAGAGGCGTAAACATTAAAGACCAAAAGAACAACTCAGGTCTGTCCTTTGGGGTGATTTAGGGTGGCTGTTTAAATTAGTAATGGTTGAAAAGTCTTGAGATTGTCACACCTAGCGACTCTTAAACTTTTCTTCTCTCACTGCAGCTTATTCTTCTCCCCTGTGTAACACGCTGTCTCTTCCCAGAAGCTTAGCATTTCTTCCTCTGCCCCATAGCATTTTTTCAACACTTACATTTATTAGGTGCTGTTCATGTTCTAGACACCTAAGTGCTTATACAAGTGAGATAACATGTCCGACATTCTTAGAATAGTGCTTGGCATATGATAAATGCTCACTACATGTTACCTCCTATGAGAGCTCATTTTCATTTTTCCAACAACTCTGTGATTTGGATATTGTCATCATTTCTATTTTGCAGATGAGGAAGTTGAAACTCAGAGATGCTGGGTAATTTACTTAGGTTCACATGGCTATTAAGTGGCAGAACCGCTTACAAGCTTTGCAAGTAATTTTCTATGCAGCTCTTAGTTCCTCTGTAATAGGAGCTGAATGATGACAATTTGGCTTTGTGTGCATCGTATCCTACTTTCTAACTTGAATAGGACCTTTAGAGCAGTGACCTCCACTTCCCTCTGAGAATCCCATGCTTCTGGAGCTGCTGACTGTACCACTTCTGGACATCCCCAGGGTTTATGCTCACTGACCAGTGCTGGTGTGACATCATGATGGCTGAGCACCATCATGTGCTGTGTCCAGCCCACTGCTAGGCGCTATACTCATTTATCCCTCAGACTGCCTTGGGCTGTAAATGCTACCCAGAAAGGTTCATGTTCGTTACTCAAGTCACTTCACCAGAAAGTGACAGAGCCAGAATTCAAACCCAGGTCTGCCTGATTCTTGGTTATTCGTCATTGCCAGGGAGTCTTCTTCAAGATTATTCTCAAGAGTTTAAGATACAGGCTCAGGCCAGGCACGGTGGCTCACGCCTGTAATCCCAGCACTTTGGGAGGCTGAGGCGGGTGGATCATGAGGTCAAGAGATCGAGACCATCCTGGTCAACATGGTGAAACCCCGTCTCTACTAAAACTACAAAAAATAGCTGGGCATGGTGGCGCGTGCCTGTAATCCCAGCTGCTCAGGAGGCTGAGGCAGGAGAATTGCCTGAACCCAGGAGGCGGAGGTTGCGGTGAGCCGAGATCGCGCCATTGCACTCCAGCTTGGGTAACAGAGCGAAACTCCGTCTCAAAAAAAAAAAAAAAAAAAAAAAGATACAGGCTCATGGCCAGGCATGGTGGCTCATCCCTGTAATCCCAATACTTTGGGAGGCTGAGGTGGGCAGATCACTCAAGCTCAGGAGTTCAAGACCAGCCTGGCCAACATGGTGAAACCCCATCTCTACTAAAAATACAAAAATTAGCGAGGTGCGGTGACAGACACCCATAATCCCAGCTACTCTGAAGGCTGAGGCAGGAGAATCACTTGAACCCGGGAGGTGGAGGTTGCTGTGAGCCAAGATCATGCCACTGCACTCCAGCCTGGGCAACAGACTGAGACTCCATCCCACCCCCACAAAAAAAAA